AAACCAAACCAAAAAAAAAAAAAAACAAAACAAAAAACAAAAAAAAAAACAAAAAAAAAACAAAACAAACAAACAAAAAAGAATCCTCATGAGTTTAAGACCAGTTTGCATAATGTATGGGACAAAAGGCTCCTCCTTTCCCTTCTCGGGGCGGAAGGGAAGGAATGGGGGGAAAACAGCAACAAGGCAAAAGGAAAATAAATGTCCGCTAGTTTTTAATGACGTCTGCCATGTAGCAGTTTATGGAGGAATAAACAGAAGTCCAAAGAGGCAGAATAGTTTGCCCATAGTCATGTAGGTAAACAGCTGTAGCTAGAAACTCTTGAGACTCCAGAACCCCAATTTCTTCACCTTACAAACCACCTCAACTTTAAATACTCAAACTAAACATTGAACTCTTGTAAGTTTACATAAACAAGAAAACGAACCAGAGACCAGTTTTCAGAGGACTAAACTGTCCTCCAATTGCCAGAGAGCCCTCAACATTGGTTATAATCTAGCTACAACGCTAATAGTCAGAAACTAACTAGGGACAGTGGTGATAGTAATCTTAACTTACAGTCTGAGGACAACAGATAAAGGAACTTCACAACTAAGGTTCAAGGTGAGGGCCAGTCATGAAAGAGCCATCCACCTCGGTGCTTCTCAGACATTAGCTTATCCCATGCCCCACACGGAAGTGTTCTAAGCTTTCCGGGCCCAACCAGAGACGCTCTGAACAGAACCCACAGAGTGGATTTAATGGATTTTTCTTTTTCGGTGCTACAGATTGAACCATTAGTGTAGTTGCTACCCCTGAGCTGTATCCTCGGTTCAGCATTTCTTATTCCTAACAAGCTCATCAGTACATCGCAATTAAACTCGGCCTCGTTTATGGTGTGCTTTGTGTGTGTGCATATTACATTTATTATATGAATGTTTGCTTGTCTGTACACATGTCACAGATATACCTGGTGCCTGTAGAGATCGGAAGAGGGCATCAGATCCCTTGAAACTGGAGCTACAGATGCTTGTGAGCCACCATGTGGGTGCTGGGAACTAAACCTGTATCCTCTTGCAAGAGGAACAAGTGCTCTTAACCACTGAGCCATCTTTCTAGCCCCAGGTACACTGTAATTTTTATAGACTTTTAAAAAAAGCATTAATTGTCTGTCTTCTCTTTCCAACACCAATAAAACTTGTTTCTAACAAATAATTCGTGTCTTCTCTTGCCCACTTGGTAGGATTTTTTTTCTTCTTCTGAATGTTTCTCTGCATATCCCAGGCAGTCCTGGGTCTCACTCTAAAGACAGCTGGCCCTCAACTCAGAGGTTCATGTGCCTCCACCTCCTGACCTTAGTGATGGCATTTAAGGCCTGTGCTCACCTAGTAAGACTTTTATGCAAATCCCTTCATCTCCCTCATCTGGTAAAACCTTTGTGCAAATGTTTTAACATCCCCTCCTTCCCCAAGCTGTAAATCCTCTGTTTACACAAAGGCCCCTTTGCCTTCTTGGAACTTAAGTGACTTAATAGGAAAAGAACCCCTTCCACTTGCATTTCCTTTAGGCTGACTCTCTTAAAAACCAGTCATTTTTTGCCTGGGTGTGACTCACGTCTTTCATCCTAGCACTTGGGAGGCAGAGGAAGGGGATTCTCTGGAGTTTGAGGCCAGTCTGGCCTACAGAGAGAGTTTCAGGACAGCCAGGGATACACAGAGAAACCCTGTCTGGAAACACACACACACAAGTAAATAAACACACAGCTATTCTGGGTCTATGGGGTTTTTAATCTGAGCACCAAGAACATACCTAAGCTGAACATACGGAAACATACAACGATTCTGGCCTAAGATGCTATTCAAAATTTCCCCAAATGTGCATGTACCAACTCTTAGCACGTTTATCAGAAACATTCCTATTGAAATAGTTGATAAAGTAAGACAACTTGAAGAATCTAACTTTTCCTATGAGTATTTGGCTGGGAATTAAACATTGCTAAATAGTTTTAATAATAGGCCTCTTTGTAAGTACTCTCTAATATTTACTTCGAATAAGCTCAAGTCCTGAGGACCAGCCAATGATTGCCCTTCAGCTGACAGCTGTCAGACCTTCCACTCATGCCTACTGCCTCGACTTAACCACAAGCCAATAACCAGACCATCCTTCTTTTGATGCTCAGCTGAACAGTCATCACACCATCCCAGCTACTGTGAGTGCTCCGTGGACACCTTGAGGGAAGTTGAGTCCAGCTTCCAGGACCCCTGCCACCCGTGACTGTTACATAACGGCCATGACACCTGCTTCAAGGATCCTTACTCCAGTCGCACTGTTTCGAGAGCTTGTATTGGCTTTGGAGAACTCCTGTCTAAGCAAGACAACCCTCCAAATTCTAGAAGCCTCTACTTACCTTGCAGCAATTCTCTCTCAGCACAAGATGAGGGAGGGAAAGCATCTCTGCAGTGACCCAGTAAAAAGTTGGTGGAATGTAAGGCTTGCTATCGGTAGCATATACAAGACTGCAGTTGGAATTATAATCTGACCAAAGTGTGTCACACTTTTCTTCAAGCTAGAAAGGGGGCCCCTTGACATTCCTCTTTTGCATTAGTGTGGGAGGCTGCTCTCCTGTTTATTCAACCTCTAGTCTACAACATGAAGCCCAAGTAAAGACTTCTTATGAATGCCTGAAGAGAGGCAGGCTGCACTGAAGGCACAAATGGAAAACCGAACCACACCACACAGGCACACAGTCTTCACACAAAAGCGTGGAGACTGCCCAATGTGGTGGTATATATACCCCTGTAATCTCAACACAGAGACGAGCATCAGGTCTCCGTAAGGAGCTCCAGGCCAGGCAAAGTAACATGATGAGACCCTGTCTCAAACAGAGAAGATCCCAGAGAGTCAGCAGGGTACAGATCATCATTAATTTCTACAGCCACAAACTTCTGACATTTGTGTTATTTTTGCGAAGTGGTGTTCACACACTAGCAATTATAAAATCTAACTATCAAATTCATGGCTTTATTCCTAGCACTCTGGAAATAGAGGTAGATGGATCTGTGTGATTTTAAGGTCAGCCTGATCTACACAATGAGTTCTAAACCAGACCCAGGTTTGGTTCCTGGAACCCACATGGTGCCTCACTAACTCCCATAACTCCAGTTCCAGAGAATCAGACGCCCTCTTCTGACCTCTGGGACGTGAGGTACTCATGTGGTGCCCACGTATGCATGTAGGCAAAACATTTATACACATAAATAAATAAATCTAAAAATAAAAGATTTACTGTGCAAATATTCATGCTTTGATTCTTTATGTAAAAATAAAATCCATCCGATTAGTATGCAAATTTACTTTCTTCTCTAAGAAATGGTAAGATTATATATATTCCAAAGAGCTGTTTTAAAATAAATATTTTGAGCTGGAGAGATGGTTCAGTGGGCACTTGCTGCTCTTCCAGAGGACCCAAGTTCAAGTCCCAGCAACCACATAGCAGATCACAACCATCTATAAGTCCAGTTGGAAGGGAGAGATCAATGTTGCTCCTGGCCTCCATGGTCACCAACCACACACGTGGTACACAGATACACATACAGGCAAAATATTCACATAAAAATAAACATTTATGCAAAAATGAATTACCTCATAATTTACAATCAGTAAATGTTTTATTCTCACACCTACTCCGTACACTTAGATACCTGAAGTCACATGATAGCTTATTGGGAGAAAAGAGCTCTTGAGTGGAGTGTGAAAACCCCCGATCTACAGCAGCAGACTGCAGGAAGCCAAGGACAGAGGCAGGAGTATCTAGAAGATGAGAGATGACAGAGAAGCTGAGACCACAGGTGAGGAACTGCGAAGAACAGAGGTGAGACTTCAGAATTATAACCCTTGGCTGATGGGAGAGCGTCAGGCGCAGTGGCTCACACCATTAATCCCAGCATTAAGGAGATAGAGGCAGGCAGATCTCTATGAGTTCGAGGGCGGCCCAGTATACAGAGCGAGTTCTAGGATATAGAGGGCTACACAGAGAAATCTGTCTCAGGGTGGGCTGAGGGGGCACCAGAGAAGGTGCTGGATGATATAATAGATCGCCCCAAAGCACGCTTCTCTCCAAAGAAATCCAATCATAGGAAACTAAATAAAATTTCTAAGATAGGTTTTTTAGATAGGGTCTCTCTTGGTAGTCCAGGCTGGCCCTGCACTTCCGGTCATGCCTCAGCCGCCCATGTGCTGGGTTTACAGGCGTGTCACGGCTCCAGCTGGGTTTTTAATCCTTATTTAAGTGTATGTCTGTGGATGTCAGTAGAAGGGTGTCGAACTCTCCCGAGCTGGAATGCAGATGACTGTGAACCACCATGCTCACATCGCTAGGAAACAAACCTGGGTCTTACTCTAAAATCTGGAGCCAGTTCTCCAGCCTCTTGAGCCTGTTTGAGATTGGGTCTCACCTTGTGGCTTAGGCTAGCTTCCAACTCAGTAATCCTCCTGCCTCAGAGGCCTCCTGAGTTCTGGGATTACAGGCATGGACCACCACCACATTTGTTTTCCAGGCTATTGTTAAAACCATAAACCAACGGCAGCAGGAAACACTTGGAGAAGTTGATTTTACAGAAGAAATCAGCCAAACATGCTCACACCCAGAGCGAAGAGCACCCGTGTTCAGCAGAGATGGCTGGAAATCCTATTTTGTGTTAGGCACAACTGGAAGGTGAGTTAGTAAATGTTGAGTACGGTAAACAGTAAAAACCGCCACTGGAATTTGAATTGGTAAAACAAACAGTTCATTTTGAACTCGCAGGCTAATTCTCTTGCCAAATTACTTGCAATTTTCCGGGGCGGGGGCGGGGGCGGGGGGGCGGGATTCTTCAGGGTAGACGAAACGTGCACAAGTCAGTTCAACATCGCCATCTAGTGGTGAAGCGAATTCACAGCCCTTTCCCCTTATAAACTGCTCATCTAGAAGCAGAGAGCCTGTGTAAAGAGACGGGCGAAAAGGAGCAGCGTGGATAGACACTTGGAATGTAAATTAAAAGCTTTATTGAATAAAAATGTTTTAGGATAAACAAGGCCATAAGGAAACAGATTATTTTACATCTCTAAAACAGAGCTAAATCTCTACAAATGCAAAAAGGCCTCTACCTTAAAACACCCTCCCCCCATACACATAATTTGGGCTATCAGTTACATACAAGAAATGCACTCATTTATAATGTTCTAAAGCCTTAATACCGGAGAAAACCGCCTGTGCTCCTCAGTGTTTACCAGCCTGACAATCACCTGGCTGTGGGACTCTCAGCTGAGAACTGCCTCTAACAGGTGAGCCTGTGGGCCTTGTGTGCTTCTGTTGTGAGCAGCGCCACCCCTGGCCAAGTGGTATAAGAAAGCCAGCTGAGTCCGTCGAGCGGTGTTCCTACACGGTCTGCATCAGTTCTTGCCTCCAGGTTCTGGCCTAGGCTCCCTTGACTGTGGCCCATGGCCCATAGCCTGTGGCCTGTGAGTGGAAACAAACCCTCCTCCTCTAAGGAGATTCTGCCCAGTGTTTTATCATAGCAATGAATCAAAGTAGGACACGGCCTAAGAAGACAGACCTAAGACTGATTTAATGCAACCCTGGAAGTATTACCTGGCTTAAGAATCACCACATTTCAGAGCCTCCGAGTATTAACAAGATCTGCCTCAACCCTGAGACTTTGGAGATCTGATCTCAGGTTCTGTTTTACTTGGAGTGTGGTGAACCGTGACCCAAAAGGTCTTATAGAAACACTGCAGCTTTCAGTAAAGTGTGAGAAGCCACCAGAATAGATGGCGAATACCCAGAGTGCAGGTAGACACACTGGCACACACCACTGATTATGTGGGTACAATGTCGGTCTCTCCAGACACAGAAGTATACAGGTTGGCTCTGTCTCAAAGGTGTTTGTAAGGTCGGCTGTATTTTTTTTAACTTGTTTATTATTATTGATGATAGGCATGTGTGACACAGGGGACATTTGTCAGAGGATAACTTTGTGCAGGCTGCTCTCTCACCTTTACGTAGGTGCTGGGGATTGAACTCGGGTGCTTGGACTTTTGTAACAAGCACCTTTCCCCCGGCGAGCCATCTCACTTGGCCAAAGGTTGCCGTTTCCTGCCTCAGTGATTTAAAATGCCGAAAGTAGGATGAAAGACAGTAAGCTTCCCATATCTACCAGAGGAAGAAAATGCATTTAAAAAGCTTGAAAGACTAAATATTGGATTTCAGCAGTTGAGTACTAAAAAATGAAATTGGTAAAATGGCTACACTGTGCCCTTTATACTAAAGTGTCTCTGGTCATGAGGTGGGCTCCTGGACGCCTCTAATTCCACAACAGTCTTTGTAGTGTGAAAATGTGCCTCTAAATATCTAGCCACTGTAATATTGATTTGGGGGAATGCAGTGGACAATGGGCTGCATCAGTGAGAGAAATCCCTGCTTAGCCCTCCCCTGCTAAAATGGAGAGTTTCTTTTGTGTTTGTCTTGTTTTTGAGGCAAGGTTTCTCTTTGAAGTCCTGGCTGTCCTGGAACTAGCTCTGTAGACCAGGCTGGCCTCAAACTCAAGAGAGACCCGCCTGCCTCTGCCTCCCGAGTGCTGGGATTAAAAGTGTGTACTACTACACCAGGCTTAAGATGGTGTTTCAACAATGCACTTAGAATTGGTTTGGGGTTTGTTTGTTGTTTGTTCTGTTTTGCTAGCGGGAATTCATTTCCAAAGCTGCTCCCACATAAACGACCCTTGGCGCCAAGCTGTCTGTTTTTGGGCACCACTGGATAAAGGGCAGTGAGTTGCTTAGACTCCTAAGACAGGAGTCTAAGGCTGGCACCATGCGGCCGGTCATTCCTCATCCTCGTCCTCGTCATAGTACCGGTTTCTCTTTATCTGTTCCTCCACAGACAGCTCTCGGACCACCTCCCCCTCCCAGAACCCGACATCTTGGGATTTCTGATTCTGGGTAGTGAATTCTTTAGTAGCCGCGGTGTCTACAAACCCAGACCAAGCCGGAGACTCGGGTTCTAATGGAGACTGCTGTGCGAGGACCCGGCTGTCATCTTCAGCTATGTCTGCGCCGTTTTCTATAAAATTCTCACTCTCCAGCTCGAAAGAACGCCGGTCCTTGCTCCTCGGCGCCTCCTCCGCCGCTGCGTCCTCGCTCTGCCGGCGAGATTTCCCCACATTCTCTTTCTCCCCAGAGGGCCTGGCACTATCTGTTTGTTTCCTTTCCGTCACTATTCCTCCTCCAAAGTCCTCACTCTGCTCGGACTCGCTCCAACCTTTCCTGAGAGATGGCGACAAGGTCTTGGGGCTCTTGACGGAAGAGGTTCGAAAGGAAGCTGCGACAGTGAACGGACGGCTCCTCTCCTTCAGCGAAGAAGACCGCCTTAGCTTCTTCAGGTCCAGATCTACATCCTCGGGAGCCTCGGTCTTGCAGACTTCATCCTCTGGAGGCCACTTGGGCTTCGATACTTTGAAACCTTCCTCCAGGCCACTTCCTGAACTGCCCAGCTCAGCTGGGGGAGGCCAGGCGATCCTCAGCTTCTTGGTCTCAGCAGGCTTGTCCTCTCTCTCCCTCTGAGAGGAAGCCTTGGCTTCCATACTTGCAGCCAGCACGCCGACCTTAGCGATGGGGGCATCTTCCACACCTGGGCTATGGGGGGTCTCCCCTGCATTTGGAGGCTGGGCTGGTCTCCCCAAAGTCTCTTCATTTTCACTTTTGCTTGCCCACAGATCCTTATGCGGCTTGTGCCCAAAGCCTTCGTCATAGTTGCCTTTGGACTTGAAGAGTTGATTGAAGTGAGGCTTACAATAGATTCTTCCATGTAAGGATGCGTATGTTCCTAGACTATCACCAAAAGAGAAAACACCAAGTCAGTGAATCTTCCTCTGTACTCTCAGTTATAGCAGCAGGCTTCGATCTGTGAGTGCCAGTGTTTTCTGAGGATGGTGAGAAACCCCCTCCCCTCTGAAGGGTAGATACTGTGAATGTGTAGGGTCGTGTACATGCCAGGCAAACACTGTATCAACTGAGCTACATCCCCAGTCCAAGGAAAATATCTTTAAAAGCGCACAAATGACCTGTCATAATGACTTATCCTCTTTTGTTTTGGGGGGGGGGGGGGTTGAGACAAGGTTTCTCTGTGCAGCCCTGGCTGTCCTGGAACTCATTCTGTAGACCAGGCTGGCCTCGAACTCAGAAATCCGCCTGCCTCTGCCTCCTAAGTGCTGGGATTAAAGACTTACCCTCTTTTAAGGTGCTTTTTAGTTTTATTTATTCATTTATTTATTTATTTATTTATTTATTTATTTATTCATTCATTCATTCATTTAGAGCCCTAAATTCACTATGTAACCCAGGATGGCCTTGAACTTGAAATCCCCCTGCCTCAGTCTCCTGAGTTCTAAGATCTCAGGGTGTGTAGCGCCATGCTTGTCTTTACCTTTACACAAAGCATGCTTACTCCCTAGACCAAACCTTCACTGGTCACCCTCCTAACTGATATGTAATTCCTCGTTTTCAAGTGATTTTATTCTCCTCAATGAAAATGTTTAAAAGTCACTTCTCCTGTCTGTCTTAACCCTCTGGCTCCCACCGCTCAGACACTTCCTCAGCATCTATAACCTCAAAGTTGTATCTTTCTTCCTAATTTATCATCGGTGCTAATTTTAAAATCATGACACTGTAAGAACGGATACAATGTGCTGTAGATATCTGGTACTTAGTGTCTACTCCCGACTGGATAAAAGCAAGCCAAGCTGACAGGAGAGGGAGCAGGAGATAATGCTTTATTCAGCTTAACTTTTTTTTTTTTTTTTTAAGATAGAATCACTAGGTAACTCTGGCTGGCCTGGAACTTACTGTGTAGAACAGGCTAGACTTGAAGTCACAGAGATCCACCTGCCCCTGCCTCTTGAGTGCTGGAATCAAAGGTGTATGTCACCAAGCCCAGCCCACTATATAATATAAAGGATCATAACAGGGACTGGAGAGAGAGAGATGGCTCAGTGGTTAAGAGCACTGGCTGCGCCAGGCGGTGGTGGCGCATGCCTTTAATCCCAGCACTTGGGAGGCAGAGGCAGGTGGATTTCTGAGTTCAAGGCCAGCCTGGGTGACAGAATTTCAGGATAGCCAGGGCTACACAGAGAAACCCTGCCGTGAAAAAAACAAAAAAAAAGAAGAAAATAAACAAACAAATGAATAAACAAACTCAGTAGGCAGAAAAGGAACTAAAGGGTAGAGATCCCAGAGGCAGGTTCTGGTGGCACGTGAAGGAGCATTATCTAGCTAGAGCGACCACTGAGTCGAGCTCTGGTATAAGACTCCTTAAGTGTCCTGTAGACGTCAGGACAGCTTACAAGAGTATTCTAGAAGGGTACTTGCTTGGGAAGGAAAAATGGAGAAAGTGGCACCTTGGAAACTCTCCTCTCTCTGAAACCATGTAATTAAAATTAATTAATGTGAAGTCTTTTCTCAATCTGCCATATTCATAGCTTTCCTTTAAGTCCTTCTCCTTTCTTCAGTCCTGGCAACTGGACCCAGGCACGTGACTGCTGGGCATCATTACCACCGGTTACATCCTTGGCCCTCTTTTTCACACTAAGTTGCTGGCGATCTGATCTTCCTGCCTAAACTTCCCACTGTAGCTGGGATTCCAAGCCCGTGGTCACCAGACCTAGGATGCCTTGGGATTTAATGGCTGACAGTTCTCTGAGGCCACAGGAAAACATTCTGCTAAATCTGGTCATGGATGAGGGGTCTCATTAGGAGTTCTAGTATCTTAGGCTTCAGTTCTAACACACCAAGGCATCGAGAAGTTCCCAATGACACCATCAATCTTATGAAGGACCTGCCACTAAACAGTGCTGTCTACATTACCAAGGGCTCCCAGTAGTGTCAGTACAGTAGTGTTTAGCGCCCGTGTTCTGAAAGCCTACACAAATAGGCCTGCTTGGGTCTGGCTCACCTAAGCTTGCTGTTGCAGTAGGAACATCGGAAACAGCTGATGTGAAACACCTGCTGGTTGGCCAGCAGACGTTCCATGGGGTACACCGTCTTCTGACACTCCACGCAGCTCTCCTTTGCAGGCGCCTGAAATTTCTAGAGAAGGAAGCAGAAGGCAATTTCAACCTCAGCACTGATGACCTGGTGCCCTGCCGAGATGGGCTAGGATTTAATTTATCTAAGATGGGCCATTCTTAAAGGAACTACACCTGCTCAGATTCTACCGACTGACTTGTTAGAGCCGGGAGGCTCTCCTGGATTTCTGTACCAAACCGTGTGGCTGCCTTAAGTGTAGAAGCCTTTGAGGTCAGGTGGGCTTGGGCTGCATTGCAGAGCAACGTGTAGACAGGCTGAGACACAGACAGACAGACAGACACACACACACACACACCCCTCAGAAAACATTGCTGATAGAGAGATGTAGTTAGAAGGGCAGGAGGAAGGAGAAAATGAAATCACAACATAGAAGGAGGAAGTCTGATTCAAGTGGCAGAAAGGAGGTGATTTTAACAGTCTTGGGGGTGGTGAGGTCTGACACCCAAGCTGAGGGAAGGTGATTATAACAGCCTGGTATGTGTGTGTTGAGGGACCGGGGTCTGACAGTTAAGGGAAGGCGTTACACTTTGGAAATCAGGGAAAGATATTTCAATTCCAGAGGAGTATCTTTTGTTACTCTCTGGACAGGTTTTAGTCTAGTTTTAAAGACAGATTCTCGCCAGGCAGTGGTGTCGCGTGCCTTTAATCCCAGCACTTGGGAGGCAGAGACAGGCGGATTTCTGAGTTTGAGGCCAGCCTGCTACAGAGTGAGTTTCAGGACAGGCAGGGCTACACAGAGAAACCCTATCTCGAAAAAAACAAAAAACAAACAAACAAACAAAAAAAGATTCTCACGTAACCCAAGCTGCCCTCAGACTGATCGAGTTCCCACCAATGACCTTGACCCTCCCGACTCTGTTTCCCAAGTGCCAAGACTGTATGTAAAAATATGCCATTACATCTAAATGTGTGTGGCATATTTTAAAAACCTTTTTAAATGTTTACTACGATTTTCTTGTATTAGTGGATATATGCACACATCACTGTACACGTGTGGAGGTCACAGGATAAACTCTGGGGACTTTGGTCTCCGCTTCTGCCATATGGACTCTGGGGATCAGACTCGGGGCCTTACGCTTGGCAGTAAGTGCCTTTACCTGCTGAGTCATCTTGCCAGGCCCAAGCTAGGCATATTTTAATGCAAACCTTAACTGACACACAGAAGGAATAATTTGTAAGAGAAACAAACTACCTTATTGGGCTTCCAGAAGGAAGCGTAGCCTACTAAAGCTACATTGTTTATATATAGTGTCTGAAAACTAACACTGAAAAAAAAAAAAACAATGCCCTGGGCAATGTATCCCTTAATGACTGTGAATTTGTGAACTATTTGCAATCTGTGCACCAAGAGTTGTCACGTTGTTCAACACAATAATTCAACTTCTAAAACCAGGAGAGCTGGGGACCGAGGACGTTTCTCAGTAAGAAGAGAGCTTGCCTAGCTCATACAAAGGCCTGGGTTCACTGCTCAACAACGAATAAAACTGGGCATGGTAGTGCAGCACTTGAGTTGTGGAAACAGGTGGTGGAAACAGGAAGGTTGTAAGTTCAAGGTCATCCTTAGCTGTACTGCAAGTTTAGGGCAAATCTATGATTCATGAGACCCTAAAGTCCTCCCCTCTCTTCAATATATATGGATTTGCTACTGTAGCACTGATAAAAAGCCAGAATTCTAAAAAGATGCTGTAAGCATCTACATGATAAAAAGTGTTATGTCACTGATGGTGGTGGGGCCAGAAGTCTCTACTCCTGAGTGTGAATACCCACGACTTGCTCCAACACAGACATGTCAGCCAATAGAGGAAGACAGCAAATTAGATGGCCAGGCAACTCTCACAGGCATTTAGGTGCCCAAGTGGGGTCTAGCTGAGCTTGGGCTCTCAGCAGAAAATGTAAGAAAATGTAATAATGCAAATCAACCCCTGGGTCCAGGACCTGAATTTAGCTAAGCCTAAAAGGACCAGGTTATGGGCAAAGCAGACCCTGGATTTAAAAAAACAACAAAACAAAACAAAACAAACAAACAAACAAAAACCCCAAAAGCCTAGCTGGGTGTGGAAGCTTACACTGATCATCCCAGCACTCGGGAGGAACTTGCAAGAGAATGGCTGTAAGCTCAGAGCTATTCTGGTCTACATAGCAAGGGCCCACCAAGCCAGCCAGGCTAGAGGGAGACTATATCGAAAATAAACCCACCAACCAACCAGCCTCGAAGACAGACCCATAAAAAATGTTATACTGTTTATTCACTACAGGGACAAAATCAGTGGGGACTGTTTTCCAAGCAGATTTGGTAAGAAATGGAAGCAAAGACATGAAATGCAAGTCAAGATATATAAAGCAAAGCTTGCTAAAACAACAGGCGAATGCTCACACATTGTCTCGAAGGCCCAGGAATAAGTGAGCAGAGCGAAGTGGAATGAAGGACAACCCGCTTCATTCGGGCAGAGTCCTGAGAAGAAAAGAAGTTAAACCACCAAAGACCAGAGGCTAGCTCAGTGTACCAGTCATGAGGGAGGTACCTAAGGGTGGCCCAGGTGACAGCAGAGAGCTGTGGACGGTCACTAGGGCATTATTTAAATGACAGGTTTCTTTTCTTTTACAGACACAATTGATTTAAAGGGAGATACTGTTGCCCCATTTTAATAATGTTTTCTCTAAAAGGACTAGGTGGTTATTTTTTGCCCAGAAAGCAGGACCTCCATTAAAATGCAGATTAAAATTTGAGAATAATGGTACAGTTGGAGCTACCTGAGAGAACCTGTCTAAATCATAATTCAAATTGTGTAAGAAATGGGATAAAGGCCGGGCGGTGGTGGCGCATGCCTTTAATCCCAGCACTTGGGAGGCAGAGGCAGGCGGATTTCTGAGTTCGAGAGTTCAAGGCTAGCCTGGTCTACAGAGTGAGTTCCAGGACAGCCAGGGCTACACAGAGAAACCCTGTCTTGAAAAAAAAACCAAACCAAAAAAAAAAAAAAAAAAAGAAAAAAGAAATGGGATAAAGGTGCTTATCAGACTGAGAATCTTTTTTAGTTGCAAAAAGGGGATCCTGTATTTTTAACGGATGAAATAGAATTGGGAGAACAAGGGGAAGGGTCACTGAGAGCATGTGTGCAGACACATGTGCACACACATGTGCGTATACACATACACATGCATTCACATGCACACACATTCATACACACATACACATGCATGCAGGCAACACACACACACACACACACACACACACACACACACACACACACGAGGAAGGAACACATAGCAGCAGGGTGCAGCCCAGGGAATAGAGAGAAGAACTTGAGAGATAGCGAAGGTTTTGCTCACATTAGGAGGAAAGTAGAAGGCAGGAGCAGAGATTAGGTGCCGGGAGCAGGATGCAGAGGCTGGAAGAGACAAACAGGAACCTTCAATGAATACACAGCATTCCATATGCCCTGAAGCACTCAACTGCAGCTGAGCTCACACTCAGACTCAGATCCAAGAATAAGACCACATTCTGACTCTGCCCAGGGAGGCAAAACCCAGCCCCTCTTAGATCCACCTGAGGCATAGTCATCCTCAGGATCAAGAAGGCTTTTATGAACCTTCACCCACACGAGGAGTGTCTTTCTCATAATTGTTCAGGACTTTATTGCCTCCCACGCCTGACCCACAGCTGCTTTGTTAGGACTGTGTCACCTCCCACACCTGGCCCACTGGTGCTTTTTTCACTGAAGCCTCCCACACCCAAGTGAAAAGTCACCCCTCCTTGACATCAACTCCACAGCCTGTTGCCTCACATGACTGGCTAAGCACAGGACCTGGTGCTTCCTGCTGCTTCTATCCGAGTCTCAGGGTGTTCTTCTGCTGTTATTTAAGGCTTGTGCAGCGAGGGACCTCACACTGTCATAAAAACAACAGCAGAGGCTCCCAGCATGCTCATATGCCAAGTGGTAGCGGCTGTGTTGTGCCTTCCCTTTAATTCTCCATCCTGGGCGCTCAGCCACTTTTCTGTAATTTACCCCATGTCTATTCAGGCAACAGGAAGCATAGCTAGTGCCCAAAATGCTCCCATTATCGGAGGCCTGGAACACATCCTGCCCGTGCCTCCACGATTGGTTGACTCGTCACAGCCATGCCCAGAACTCTGTCGACATGGGACTGTTAGACACTCCTTATCTTTACAATATATTCTCTCATCTACTAAGCGAATTGTTTTATGTTTTGCTTGTTTTTTTTTCACTCCTCTTTCTCTGCCTCATTTCTCACACATAGATACTAAAGTATCACACATAGATATTAAAGTATCACACGTAGATATTAAAGTATTACATGTAGATACTAAAGTATCAGGGGTATCAGACACCTGACCAAGGTTATAAACAGTCAGGAACAGAATGACGATTAAAATCCATAATTTCTAACTCAGACCAACGGAGTATTTTCTAAACACTCCTGTGCTGTCTTTGGAGAAGATGCTAACCCAAGGCAAACACAAACACACTAGAGTCTTCTCTTGATTCCAGATTCAAATGTGGAGATATTATCTTCAGGACATTCTGGAATGAATGGGGCAATATACAAATAACTTATATTAACCTACACAGTCTTTCCCATGTGAAGAATATTACAGATCTTCCGTTGATGGGCATCTATCTGCCTTACGTTAGTTTCCAACACATCCACCTACCTTCCTTTTAACACTTTGTATTACACACGCTTTCAGTCTGATGAAGGCAGATGTGTAGGTGGTGTATCCATCAATGGGGGAAAGGGAAACAGCTGGCAGCGGACCAGAAAGCTAGGCCAGCCGACATAATGAAATCGGAAAGAATTCTACATTGAGGTCAGACCTCCATTCATCAGATGAATACTGCAAATGCTGTTCATTCTTCTGGTTTGTGCAAAACGGCTAGGTAATAAAACTGGAATTCTCTGCCACGCAGCAAATTGTTGAGGGCAGCTCTGTGTAGCCTGCAGCTTCTGAGGAAAACTCTCTGTGAAATCGTTCTCAGGACCGTTCATATCCCAAACAGACTGTCTCTAATAGACTGTCTTCATGAGAGGAGGGACAGCAGTGACAGGATCCTGGTGACCTTCGGTCGTGATTCTCCTAGCTTTGTAAAAGAACATGACACCAGGTTGGGGCAGTGGGGACCTCACTGGAAAAAGCCTGCTTATCATGCATGGGGCTCTACACCTCCAATACCATACAATAAAACCACAAAGTCTCTTATCCCTGCCCACAGAGGACAGATACGTGAAGGGGCACCTCGAAGTGTAGGCTTCTTCTTCTTTTTTTTTTTTTGGTTTTGTTTGTTTTGTTTTTGTTTTTTCGAGACAGGGTTTCTCTGTGTAGCCCTGGCTGTCCTGGAACTCACTCTGTAAACCAGGCTAGCCTCGAACTCAGAAATCCGCCTGCCTCTGCCTCCCAAGTGCTGGGATTAAAGGCGTGCGCCACCACTGCCCTGCTGAAGTGTAGGCTTCCAAACGGCATGTTGTGCTTTCTTTCCACACACATCAGCAGAACCATCTGATGAAGCTTGAGACAAACTGGTGACCCTCAGGGCTGGTCATATTCCCTTGCCTTTTCTTCTCTCCTGGGTCTTGGTCTTTCTCCCACACCCCACCATCGGTCACTGAAAACCTGGGGTGCCACTGCCTGGGGGTAAATGCCTATAATCTTAGTACTTGGGAGGCAGACACAGAAGGATTACAAGTTCAAGGCTAGTCTGAAATACACAGTGAATTGAGGCCAGACTGGGCTGAGTAGTGAAATCCTACCACAAAACAATTTTTGAAAAGTTGTTAAAAGGGGCTGGAGGGATGGCTCAGCGGTTAAGAGCACTGACTGCTCTTCCAGAGGTCCAGAGTTCAATTCCCAGCAACCACATGGTGGTTTACACAACCACATGGTGGATCCGATGTATTTTTCTGGTGTGTCTGAAGACAGCAACAGTGTACTCACATAAACAAAAGTAAATAAATCTTTAAAGAAAAAGAAAAAAGAAAAGTTGTTTAAAAATCCCCAGGGTTTAGGCTGGAGAGATGGTTCAGTCGTTAAGAGCACTGGCTGCTCTTGCAGAGAACTCGAGTTCAATTCCCAGAACAATGGTGGCTCACAGCAACGACTGTTCCACGAGATCTGATGCTTTCTTCTACCTCCACAAGGACCAAGCACATGGCAGACTCATGCAGGCAAAACACTGGAGAGCTGAGATTAAAGGAGTGTGACATCATGCCCGACAACATTTATTTTTATTTTATGTGTATGCATGTTTCATCTCCATGTATGTTATGTGTACGTCTGTGTGCCTGGTGCTCAGGGAGGGCATTGGATCCTCTGAACGAGAGTTACAGATGGTTGTGAGCCACTTTGTGGGTGCTGGGAATTGAACCAGGATCCTCTGAGAGAGCACTCGGTGCTCTAAACCACTGAGCTCACTCTCTAGCCACCTGCAAAAACCTACACTTTGAAATTATTTGAGTTTCCTGCTTAGGATGCCCTAGTTTTCAGTAACAGATAGGCACTAAGAACAGATTCCACCCCCCCCCCCAGGATGCGTGGGACTCAAAAAAATCTATTTTGAGTGAACAAATGTATTCTTTGCTACATGTAATTTCCCAAAGTAGAGAACTGACTTCTGATGCAAAGTCTAGAGCCAGGACATGAGACCAGTTACATCAGCAGCTCTTTCAGGACACATTTACTGAGGTATCTCTCTTGCTTACAGATTGCAAGGGAAGACAAACAGCCCTTAAACAAAGGGGAGATAAAATAAACTCCATGCAAGGCTCTGCATGCCTTTTGAGGCTACGGACTAACAAGGAACTGGGCAACATACTTTAGTCTTTCACACAAGCTGTAACCCCTGAGGTGTGTGTGTAAAGGCTACTGCTGATAGCCAGAGACAAAGGGGCCCACAGAGAACTGTGAACTTTCTCTGACCAACCGAGGAACACCTGTGTGATGATGCATTCTTACACAGCCCTCATTGGCTCAGGGCCTGGAGTCTGAAATCAGAATGGATTTCAACCCAGCACTGGGCCAGCATAACCAAGCCGCATTATATCTGGGCAAACAGGCAAGGCCATGTTGAGGAATAATGTTCTCAAGACCAGATGCTAGTTCTTGGATAAACCAGGGCTCAGATTCTTCAGTGACACAGAATCCATAACCGGGTCAGTCTTATTAGTCATTGTTTTATACAGATAGGGTCAGTTTCAATGCATAGTCTAGGCTAACCTAGAATTTGCTATCTCACTGCCCCACCCTTAACATGCACCATTATCCCTGGTTTTAGTGCCGTTTTCTTTTTCATTTAAGTTTGCGTGTGTGTATGTGTGTGTGGGTGCGTGCGTGTGTGTGTGGGGGGGGTGTTGAAACACAGTATAGGCATTCAAAGGACAGCTTGGAAGAGTTGGTTCTTTTCATGTGGGCTCAAACAGCTTGTCAACTGCCATCTCTGCTGAGCCATTTCACTGGCAGTGCTGGAAAATTTTATGTCAACTCAACAGGCGTTAGAGTCATCTGGGAGGAGGGAAACTCAATTAGGAAAATGCCTCCATAAGACTGGGCTGTAAACAAGCCTGCCGAGCATTTTCTTAATTAGTGATTTATTGGGGGGAGTGCAGCCCATTGTGCTGGTGGGGGTCACACCTGGGCTGGTGGTCCTGGGTTCTGTAAGAAAACAGACTGAGCAAGCCATGGGAACAAAGCAGTAAACTCTCTCATGGCCTCTGTGTCAGCTCCTGCCTCCGGGTTCCTGCCCTGCACGAGTTCCTGTCCTGATTGCTTTGGTCACGGACTATGTTCGAAGCATAAGCCAAATAAACCCCCTCGTCTCCAGCTTGCTTCAGTCATGGTGTTTCATCACAGCAATAGTAACCCTATCTAGGACACCGGTCTTCTTTCCCTGCGTCTTTCTCAGAGAGCTTGGGAATGGAATCCAGAGTCTCACATATTAAGAAAGTGCTCTACCACAGAGCCAGGGCTGGGCCCCTAGCTACCATCCCCTCTATCCTTTTTAAAAATTTTATTTTTATTATTTTAAAAAGTATACATATGCCTGTCTGTGTGGGGCATGTTTATGGAGCTGCAGATGCCCAAGGAAACCAGAGGTGTTGCATCTCCTTGGAAATGGAATTAAGGACAGCTATAGGCTGCCTAACATGGATGCTGGGAATCAAACTCAGGTCCTCTGCAAGAGTGTTACGTGCTCTTACTTGTCTCTCTAGCCAACCCCTCTGCTTTCAATCTATTTTTGATCCAGAGTCATAAGCCAAACCTTGACCTCTGGGCAGACGGTGCAGGGGAAGCAGTCCCACAGCTACCTAGCTGGGCTCAGATCTTGGACAGGTCAGATGGAACACAGGTGCAGACTCAATGCCTATGACTCTGTTCTGTCTTCTCTCCTTTGTCTGCGTTGGTGCCTGGCACAGCTTGTGCCTGCTAGCCCTGTGTTCAGACACTCGGCTGCACCCATGGCCTCAGTTCTTTCCTTCTGCACCCATTTTTTCTTCTTCTTTTCTTCAGCTTCTGTTCTTCTGTAAACCATGCTCTCCCCGTGAATTTCTGCTTCCTTTAAACATCTCATTTACTCTCTTTGCTCCCTGCCCTCCTAATCTGCCCTTTAAATGCTGGATTCCTCTGCTTCCTCTTTTTGGCCCAGACACTTACTCATGTTCTGTTTCCTTCATTCTTTTTGTGAACTGATGCATTCATCCACACACCAGTCGTGGACACAGAAGGGAAATCCTCATAGCACACATATGCATGGCCCAGGAGCAGAGCAGCCTGGACTGTCTTAAACCCAATCTCTTTCAGTCTCTCCCAAGCTGAGATCTTTAAAAACAAAACCCAGGGCTGGAGAAATGGCTCAGCAGTTAGGAGCACTGGCTGCTCTTCCAGAGATCCTGAGTTCAATTCCCAGCAACCACATGGTGGCTCACAACTGTCTGTAATGGGATCTGATGCCCTCTTCTGGTGTGTCTGAAGACAGCCACAGCACACTCACATACATAAAATAAATAAAATCCTTAAAAAAAAAAAAAAAAGATACACTTCCAGGACTCATATCAGTAACTTCAAAATAATTTTTTTTTTGCAACCTGCAATACTGAAAGCAAGACCCTAAGACTCAGAGAGCAAGTGCCACTGTACCTTCACTGTTTTGGAAGGAGAATTTTCCGGAAGACTGGAGGTTCTGGCATCAGGACTCAGCGGCTTAGGGTGTACAGGCTGCTGGGCCTCACTCTTCACCTGGGAGTTACCTGGTGAAGTCACAGAAGACAGGCATTTTAGAGTAGCTCGCGAAAGCCTCAGGAAGGGATTTCTGAAAAAGCAAAACATGGGGGCTTTCCACCAGGGAGCGGTCCTCTTAGCATCAGGAACAATACTGCTTCTTGGGCTGGAGACATGGCTCAGCGGTTAAGAGCACTGACTGAGTCCTGAGTTCTGAGGTCTGAGTAGAGGTCCTGAGTTCAATTCTCAGCAACCACATGGTGGCTCACAACCATCTGTAATGTGATCTGATGCCCTCTTCTGGTGTGTCTGAAGACAGCTACAGTGTATTCATATACATAAAATAAATAAATCTTTAAAAAAAAAACTTAAAAAAAATACTGCTTCTCTGTTGAAGAAGGTTCTAAACTGAAAGTGTCCTGGGCTCCCCCAGGACTCAGGCTGTCAGTGAGACTTTCTCACCTTGCAGCACACCTGCAGCACACAGCTGGAACCCAGACCACATTGTACAACATTCTGCTCTGAAGCCTTTGCCACTTCTGAAGGCTGTGTATAGATTTTGATATGTTCCTGGTAGTTTGCAATGCAAGTAACTTCCAGGGTGCCTCAGCCAAAGCTGGGAAAAGGAGGAAATATGTGTTGAGTCTTTGTCAGCCATTCTTTGAAAAAGTTTTTGACATACAGTGTGTGTGTGTGTGTGTACGTACATACATACATATATATCTTGTGTAGCTCTGGCTGGCCCAGAACTGACCCAGGGTATGCAGCCTATGTAGCCCTGGCTGGCCTAGAACCGAGACAATTATCAAGAAAACATTTATGTGACAGTTTCATTCTTTTATCAAAAATTGGAGAAAAAAAAAAGGCAAGCTGATCACAGTGTTGCACATCTTCAATCCCAGCACTTGGGAGGCTGGTGGATCTCTGTGAGTTCAAGGCTAGCCTGATCTACAGAGTGAGTTCCAGGACAACCAGGGCTACACAGAGAAATCCTGACTATTAGAATCGGAAGTGGTCCCAGTATCATAAGTGTGTGATGCACATCTCGCATCTGTAACTGCTACACGTAGGGGTCAGAGGGCAGGAGAGATCGGTGCCACACGTAGGGGTCAGAGGGCAGGAGAGATCGGCCTCCTCTATACAGTCAACTCCAGGCCTGGCAGTGTGTAGTGTGGCTGTGTCCAAAATCAGAGACAGTAAGAGTCAATTCAACCCCAAATCGATTATCTTTGAGAAACCAGGCTTAAAATACTCCAAAGCTGGATAGAAGTATGTGAAAATTTTGCACTTAAGCAGGAAGATCCCTAGGCCTTTAAAATGTTCTTCAAAAATTAATCAATCTCTCCTGAACACCCTCTACTAAAGTAAAATGCCAAGATTCGTTTATGTAGCTTCAGACCTGGAAGAGTTTAGCACAGACAAAGGAAGAGTTCAGTGAGAGAAATGGGGTTTTTTTTGTTTTTTTTTTTTTTTTGGTTTTTCGAGACAGGGTTTCTCTGTGTAGTCCTGGCTGTCCTGGAGCTCACTCTGTAGACCAGGCTGGCCTCGAACTCAGAAATCCACCAGCCTCTGCCTCCCAAGTGCTGGGATTAAAGGCGTGTGCCACCACTGCCTGGCATAGAGAGAAGTGTTGTTAAAAGTATTCTTTCAGTTAGGGCCAGAGCAATGGCCCAATGGTTAAGAGTGCTGGCTATTCCTCCAGTCCCAAGGGATCTGATGCCATCTTCTGGCCTTGATGGATACTACAGGCACGTGGTACACAATGTTCATGCAAAACACCCACACACAATAAATAAAAATCTCAAAAATTAAAATATTATCTTCGTCCCATGTTAACCATATTTTTTTTCTTTGCGGCCTTTCTTTCTTTCTTTTTTTTAAGGTTTATTTCAGACACACCAGAAGAGGGCATCAGATCTCATTACAGATGGTTGTGAGCTACCATGAGGTTGCTGGTATTTGAACTCAGGACCTCTGGAAGAGTAGTCAGTGCTCTAAACTGCTAAGCCACCTCTCCAGAACTCTTTGTGGCTTTTCAAGATGAGGTTTCTCTGTGAAGCCCTGGCTGTTTGGGAACTTACTCTGTAGACTGGGCTGGTCTTGAACTCACAGAGATCTGCCTGCCTCTGGGGCCCCCCCCCCCCCCCCAGTGCTGGGGTTAATGACATGTGCCACCACTGCCGGCTAACAGTATTTAACTTCTCCCTAAGCTATGAATGTGTGAAGGGTGTTCCAGCACCAGCCCTTAACACCCAGGCTCTGATGAGATTGGTTGCTGGGTTTGGTACATTCCTTCCTCCACAGACAATAGCAGTGAGAAGAAGGACCCCATCACAGAACTCAGAGCAAATGCTTACAGGTGTCATCTTCAGCAGGAACAGAGTGGGCCACAAGGCTATTCTCGGTTGCAGAAACCTGCAAGAATAAAAAAGATTAAGGAGGATTAAGAAGCGCATTAAAAATACAAGAGCAAACCGGTGCCAATGCCATAAAATCCTGCTGACTCCAGTTAGTCACTGGCAGCCCGAGGGGGAAATAACGGCCCCACAACAGCTGAGCATTTAAACAAGAGGCAGCAAATGTCTTTTATGAGGATATTAACGTGCCTCTCAATTACACAGGAACACTAGAGCAGACAGCACTCAGCTGCCAAGCCAGTATCAGCTCCCTCATAAAGAACGTTCAAGCCATATCTTAGGAAGAAAAACCCCAGAGCCAGGGAGGACAAACGCCTCACATGGCACTGAGGACACTCCGTGGTGAGGGAAAGGAACTTATGGGTTTAAACCCAGGAGTTATTCCTACTTTTATTTTCCTGTTTGAGTAACTTTTGGGGAAAGGTTGACACTTGGGAGGTGGAGGCAGGAGGATCAGGAGTTGAAGATAGACCTCTGCTATACTGTGAGTTTGAATTAGCCTCAGCTACAGTATACCCTGCCTTAGAGGGGGAGGGGGGAAAAGGAGAGAGAGAGAGAGAGGGAGAGGAAAAGGAAAAGAGAAAAACCAGGAGTGGAGAGTGGGCTCATTTGAAAGACCCAGATTTAAATCCCAGCACATAGGTAGTGTCTCACAATCATCAATCCAATACTCAAGTTTCAGGGGACCCAGCAACCTTTTATGACCACTTTAGGCATCAGGAACAAACATGGTGACACGGTGCACGGATATACATGCAGGCAAAACACTCAGACACATAAAATAATAACATATATGAATCTAAGGGAAAACAAACCAAAACACTGCCACACCTTGGCAAGGGGTTGAGGTCGGGGAAGAACAACAAAAACCAACAAAAAAATTCTAGTTTTTTAAGAAGCAGGTCCTACGTATAGGTCTATATCTCTTCCTCAGAAGCCATCAACTTTAAATAAAAGAACTGTATCTCTCTCCCTCCTTTATACAGGCCCTAGCCTTTGCTGAGGTACACCTTCTGATTCTAAGATCGTGATGCTGGATTGAATAGTTGATACTGAGAGTATATATCAAGGTGTTTAATGAGCTGAATACACTCACAATGGAGACTACGTGGTTGGGCGACCACACCTGACTGCCAGCATATTTTCCCCAGTCTCTTTTCACTCCAGGAATTCTAACTTGGCAAAGGATAAATCAGAATCATCACAGTTGAATCTGCAGAGTGTTTACTCTATGCCAAGTATTGGATTGATGACTTCACATACAGCATTTCATTTGGTGACATGAAATACACTTTCTGAAAGTTGTGCTTGGTTATAAAGAGGCCTTCGCTGCTGGCAGGCTGGCACATGCCCGTAATCTTAGCACTTAGCACCACAGAGGTAGGAGGGGCCAAAAATTCAGGGTCATCCTTGCCGACACAGCCTGTGCTAGACGATACACTGTGACCCCAAACCAAAACCAAACAAGACTCTCAACTCTTGAGAATCTGTAGATGCATCCTTCCTAGGGTGTTCTCCTCTCCCCTTTAATCTGGTCCCCTTGAACCTGTGGAGTATACTTAACACTGACATCACTGCCACCGGCAGACAGATGCCATTAACTCAGAAACTTCCAGATAGGAGTACCAGAGACCATGCTCAGATATCTCCTTAAAGGAAGAACAGCAGCTTGACAAAGGATGGTACTTCAAGAAAGTTTCCTTGGGGCTGGAGAGATGGCTCAGCAGTTAAGAGCACTCCTGCTTTTCCAGAGGACCTGGGCTCAATTCCCAGCACGTAAATACATGGCAGCTCTAGTTCCAGACGATCCAACGCAGTTTTCCTTTCTCAAAGGATAAATATCTCCTCTCTCCCTCCCTCCTTCCATCATCCTTCCTCCCCCCCGCCCCCCCCCCCCAGTCTCTGTGTGTGTGTTTGCTTTTTAAAAGAACATTTCCAGAAGCACCTTTTGCAGCTGATCAAAATCCAAACGGTGCTTAGGAATTGGTTAACAATGGTGGTGAGGTGCACACCAAGGCTCTGGAATCCTACAGACTTGGGCACAGCCAAATGTTCACAAACTCACAGGACGTGCAGGAGGAGTATCCACTCTCTGCCCCTTCCCTCCCCACCCACTCTCTGAGTTATGATTCACTGCAATACGTGCTCCTTTATGCTGTAATTAAAATGTTCTGATCTTGCAGTTCAGCCCAGAGTTCTAATTTCAAATCAAATCAGCACGAGGACAATCAGGAATTCAGCACAAAAGCAGAATTCAAACCACATGACCATGATTTTCCAGGTAAGTATTTCTTCATATATGCTCCTTAGGTAACGATGGGGGGATTTTTCAATGCTGTGATTTGTTGTTGTTGTTGTTTTAAATTTACAGACTATAAGAAAAATTCCAGACATATTTGCTTGTTATATTTGAGAAACAGCTTTCACTCGGCAGGCTTGGGGAAATACAGCTTTAGTCTCAACACTCAAGAGGCAGAGGCAGACAAATCTCTGTACGTTTCAGGCTAGCCTGGTCTACATAGCAATTCCAAGCCAGCCAGGACTACAGGGAAAAACCTTGTCTCAAAAAAAAAAAAAAAAAAAAAAAGAAAGAAAAAAGAAAAAGAAAGAAAGAAAAAGAGCCCACTTACACAGTTTATTATTTGTTTTAAAGATCTTGTTTTATTTTCTATGTGTGAGTGCTTTGCCTGCATGTATGTATATGCACTATGTACATTCAGAAAAGGGTGCTGGCTCCCCTGCAATTGGAGTTACACACAGTTGTGAGCTGCTATGTGGGTGTTAGGAATTGAACCCGGATCCTCTGAAGAACAGCCAGTACTCTTAACTACGGAAGTATCTCTCCAGCCCAGTATGACATTTATCTGAGGAGTCTACTAAGATGAAGTATGCCGTCTACATAAAGTTGTTACCTGCGGCAACTAAACCATCCATCTAATTGTGATTTGCTGAAACTCTTTCCATGGCTTCCCACCGATGTCTGGACAGCCTAGAAGGCTTTTACAGATCTTGCCCTGGCCTCTTCCTCCAACCTATGTCTTGTCCCTGCGGATTTATTTACTACGGTCACCTTGCCAAATCGATTGAACAGCAATTCCTAAGAGGTCAGCCCCGGGTCTCTGCACTCCACTATGCCTGCGTGTCTGTTCTTTTTTATTTTCCCTCTTCTCCGCGCCCTTGGCCTGTTCCTGCATATTCCTCAAGGCTTGGCTCAGACATCATCTTCCTGAAGAAGTCAGCTTAGCTAGCTCTGAACTCCATGGCCCCACCATCTCTTAGGGAACCTACCAGAATGATTCTTGATAGTTAACATGCTAGAGGGCTAGCTTGTTAGTGTTCTTGAACATGAAGGCCACATGGCTTGGGGAGTAGGGCGAAGGAGGGAGGGAGGGAGGGAGAATCTGAATGAGAATAAACGTTTGTGTGCTATTTTTCTGTTTTAAACAGGCTCTTGCTGGCCTGAGACTTTCCATGCATACCGCACTGGCCTTACACTCATGTTCCTCTGGCTTTTGCTCCCTTCCTTGCTTCTAATGTTACTGCTATCTGCTATGCCTGCCTCAGCCTTTATGGCTTTAGCCCTCCATTATGTTAATTAGTTAAATGTTATATGTGTGAGCTGAGGATATACCACAGCACACATGTGGAGGTCAGAGGACGTCTCTCAGGAGTCGGCTCTCTCCTTCCACCATGTCCACCTGGAGATTGGACTCGGGTCCTCAGCTTTGCCTGCATGTGCCTTTCTCTGGGAAACCAACTTGCTGCCCCAGCCTTTAGTTTCTACGCTTCGAATTTCTAATGCTTAACACACTACCTAGGATTCTCAGCCCTAGAGCGAGGGCTGGAGACATAACTCAGTGGTAGAACACTTGCCTAGAATGTGCACAGCCTGGGGATAATCACTATTATAGCAAAGCCAAGACCAAACAAGTAAGAGTGGTGTCATGGGCTGGAGAGATGGCTCAGTGGTAAAGAGCACTGTCTGTCCTTCCAGAGGTCCTGAGTTCAATCCCCGGCAACCACGTTGGGTTTTACAACCATCTGTAATGTGATCTGCTGCCCTCTTCTGGCCTGCAGGTGTACATGCAGATAGAGCACTCACACACATAAAATAAATACATCTTTTCTTTTAAAAAAAGGAGTGGCGTCAAAAGCTTGTAGTCTCAGTGTTTTAAGAGGCTGAGGCAGAAGGATTGCTGGAATGTACAAGTTCAAGATGAGCCTGAGCCACAGAGACCTTCATCTCAAAACAAATTTGAGACAAAACAAGCAAACAAAAGAAAATCTTTTTTAAAAAATCCTTTAAGTATATATTTAAGAAGTATACATGCCGGGCGGTGGTGGCACACGCCTTTAAGCCCAGCACTTGGGAGGCAGAGGCAGGCGGATTTCTGAGTTCGAGGGCAGCCTGGTCTACAGAGTGAGTTCCAGGACAGCCAGGGCTACACAGAGAAATCCTGTCTCAAAAAACCAAAAAAAAAAAAAAGTATACATGAGTGTTTGAAAGATAGTATCTCAGGGCTGGAGAGATGGCTCAAAGGTTTAAAGCACTTGTTGTTCTTGCAGAGGACCTGGGTTCAATTCCCAGCACCCACATGGTGGTTCACAACCATATGTGACTCCTCCTCTGACTCCGAGGGCGCCAGTCACTCACACTGCGCACATACATACACTCAGGCAAAACATTACACACGTACAATAAAGTCAATCTTAAACAAGTTTTTAAAAAAATAAAAATTATCTATCTGGGGCTGGAGAGATGGCTCAGCGGTTAACAGCACTGACTGTTCTTCCAGAGGTCCTGAGTTCAAATCCCAGCAACCACATGGTGGCTCAAAACCATCCGTAATGAGATTGGATGACCTCTTCTGGTGTGTCTGAAGACAGCTACAGTGTACTATTCATAAATAAAATAAATAAATAAATCTTTAAAAAAAAAATTATCTATCTGGTCAGATTTTTTTATAAACGACTTTAGCTTTTCCGCCTTCTGAGCATTTGCTGAACAAAATAATTTTCCAGTGAAGACTCATTACTTGGTCAGCTATAAAACTGCAATGCCTCCTAACTGAAATTATGTGACCTGCAAAAAAGACAATCTGCCCTGGCAGCTGCCACCAAATTCCCAGACACTGCAGCCTAGAGTCAGACTCCTTTCTAATTTTAAGACCTAATTTAGAACACATGCTTCCCCACCAACTGGACACTGGCGTGCCGACCTACCTTGCTCTCTTCCTGATGGATGCTGCAGGCCTCGGGACCTGGGGGCACATTCTCCTTCTGTTCCCATTTATGAATTTTATTTTCGCTGGTTTTCAGCTCACTCTACAAAATAAAAAATAACCCGTGAAACCTACTCAAAACACCTACCATCCCGGTCTCTTCACGTCCGTCCTTCAAACAAACGTGGCACGTGTAAAAAAAAAATAATAAATTCTTCCTCCTAGAACTCAGATCAAATCAATCCCGTCACAAGCAAACCCACTGACCAGTGAGATGACCAAAGCAGCCGTGTGGACGCGCACCTCTGAGTTAAATATCAGTGTGCCTGTCTCAAACTGGATGCTCATCAGAAGACAGACACGTCAACGTGGCCGCCCCCTCCCCAGCCGCCCTCCAGCACACCGCATTCTCGTGATTCTCTCTTCTAACAGCACAGCTTGTGAAAGTGCAAAGCTTGTGAGTTTCATCCAGAAAAGACCCCATTCTGGAGCAGGGAGAGGGGATGCCAAGTGCCAATAATTAAGAAAATATACTGACCATAGATATAAATGCCCGGCCTGGAAAGAAAGACAGGATGATGGATACATATGAAAACCGAAGTTATACTGAGTGACACCATAAGCAGTCTTTTTCTATGGAGCTTTCAAAAGCAAGTGTTTCACATAAAATTCATAAAAAACACAATTTGACCTGTATTTCATAAAAGAGCCTCAACATAAAACAAAACAAAACCCATGCATTTGTACTGCCGTGAGGTTCGTAATAGAATGTGAACTAATTTACTAGTTCAAAATAAAACCAACCAAGGGGGAGATACAGATGGACATTTCCTATCTTAACTATGCTTTCTTTCCTTTTTTTTTTTTTTAAAGATTTATTTATTTTATGTATGAGTACATGTTGCAGTCTTCAGACACACCAGAAGAGGGCATCAGATCCCATTACTGGTGGTTGTGAGCCACCATGTGGTTACTGGGAATTGAACTCAGGACCTCTGGAAGAGCAGTCTTAACCTCTTAACTCATAACCACTGAGCCATATCTCTAGCCCCGCCTTTCTCTCTTTCTGACAGGCTCTCACATAGTCCATGCTGGCCTTAGACTTACTATATAGTCAAGGATAACCCTGAAGTTTTGATCCCTCCCCCCTGCCTACACCCCTCAAGTGCTGGAGTGTCACCACATCCAGTTCAATGGAACCTGGGCATTAAACCCAAGGCTGCACTAGAAACCACTCCACTGACTGGGCTACATTTCCATCCCCTCTCTGTGAGTCTTTAGGTTCAGAAGGAAAGAAGTCATGTAAAGCCACGGAGCTAACCAAAGTGGGCGGAGTGAGCTTGCTACAGTCCTGTCTGATACTCCAGAGTGGACAGTCTCTGCTATGGAAGGGCGCCTATTAGGAGACAGTCACCCGAACTGCACTAACTGTCTGTCTGTCTGTCTGTCTGTCTGTCTATCTCTAAGCTCCCCTCTAAGCTGCTGCCGAGGACAGTTGTGTCCTGTGAGGAATTTGAGACATTCTTTGAGGATGAGATAAAACTGTACTTTTCACAAGAATTTCCAAAGATTTCTCAATTCTTGAAATTTCCAGAGCAGAGCGTTAACACAGAAACTCTCCCAGGAGTACTTACTTAGAGATAAGATCTCAGTGGCCTGGCTGCCCAGGAACTGACTTCAAATGGTCATCCATCCTATGCTGCTACACCCTTGAGGTTTTGTTCTGTTTTAAGGGGGAGCTAAGGACATAGCACAGCTGGTGGAGAGCTTTGCCTGACACATCTAAAGCCCTGGGTTCCATCCACAAAACCAGATGTAGTGGCACAAGCCTGTAATTCCAGCTCTTGGGAGCTGGAGGCTGGAGGATCAGGAGTTCAAAAATCAGTCTTGGCTACATAGGCAGTTTGAGGTCAGTCTGGGATACAGCAGACCATTTCAAAATGAAGAACAAAAACCTGGTCATCGGGAGGATGCTCTGTTACCGTCATGCCCCCTGCACCTTCCAGTGTGCAAAATGTAAAGCGCAAAACGCAATAAATAAATAAATAAATAAATAAATAAATAAAATAAAAACCAAGGTCGCTGAACAGGTTCTCCCACCCAAGGAGTCACCTGGGTTTTTTGTTTGCAGTAGGAAGGCACAGACAGACAGACATCTCCAGTAACAGGCAGGAAGCAAAGCTCTGCATCTTCGGATCTATGTTCTAAGGGAAGCCTAACTCCACTCATTTTCCACACTCAGGAAAACTGTGGGGCTTCACCATATCGATTCATACACATTTCCTCTTGTTAAAACGACTGTGAGAAGCCGGGCAGTGGTGGCGCACGCCTTTAATCCCAGCACTTGGGAGGCAGAGGCAGGCGGATCTCTGAGTTCGAGACCAGCCTGGTCTACAGAGTGAGTTCCGGGACAGCCAGGGCTGCATCTCGAGACCCGTCTCAGAAAGAACAACAAGAAGAATGACAGGTTTGGGGGCCGGGGTGTGACTGAGTGGAAGAGCGTTTACACATACGTGCTTTGATTCTTGGCGTTACAGGGTTGGGAGTGGGAGACATGGAATACCAAACTTTTCCTTCATCAAGCATGGCATCTTCCAGTCATTCCTAATGCCCTCTTTCTAATACACCATTCTTCCTCTGCAGGAAAGCATGGCATCATAAGGGTTCAAGATTGGCTGGACCACATATGGCGTCCTTATATTGGGAATGAAATCCTGAGCTTCAGGTAAATGCTGTACCATGGTGCCTCATTCCCAGTTCTCACAGAATCTTTAAGTGAAGTGTCAAGGATATGAAGATCCACAGAGGCAGGAAGCAGACCAGTGGTTCACTGGGTGACTGACTGATTAAGGAATTACTTTGTGGGATGTCAGAAAGGTTCTGGACTTAAGATAGCAGTCATAGTTGTACAACCTTGTGAACACACTTTTAAAAATCACCTAAGTGTGGACTTGGTCTGTGTAAGGTCTGGTTTTGTGTCAACTTGACACAAGCTGGAGTTATCACAGAGAAAGGAGCCTCCCTTGAGGAAATGCCTCCATGAGATCCAAGCTCTAAGGCATTTTCTCAATTAGTGATCAAGGGTGGGAAGGCCCATTGTGGGTGGTGGCATCCCTAGGCTGGTAGTCTTGGGTTCTATAAGAAAGCAAGCTGAGCAAGCCAGGGGAAGCAAGCCAGTAAGTGACGTCCCTCCATGGTCTCTGCATCAGCTCCTGCTTCCTGCCCTGCTTGAGTTCCAGTCCTAACTTCCTTTGGTGATGAACTGCAATGTGGAAGTGTAAGCTGAATAAACCCTTTGCTCCCCAACTTGCTTCTTGGTCGTGATGTTTATGTAGGAATAGAAACCCTGACGAAGACAGTCTGCTTTCTCTGCGGAGCCAGAGATCAGACCCAGGGCCTCAAGCAAGCTAGGCAAAGGCTCTACCACTGAGATGCATCCTCAGCCTGCCTGTGCTTTCGACAGAATGTCAATTTTATGTTCCATGAACAATATTTCAATGAAAAACTTAAAAATACTCCACATTAATGTTCAAATGTACTTACTGTGGGGTTTTTTTTATATTTCCCATGATGCTCTTGAAAAGGGAAGTGAGTTGTAGGCATAACTCACTGCTTGCTTAGCGTGTGCACAGGCCTGAGTTTAACCCTAAACATCCACTGTACGGCCAGGAAAGGTCTTGAGATCACAGCTGGTGACATCATAGAAAACGAGCAAGGTCTGAATGTGCTCACGAACCGGAGGGGCAAAACCAAGACCAGAAAATGGCGACTACGTGGGGCGGGGCTTATTAAAGGGGCGGGGTCAGAGGTCAGCCCCGCCCCCAGGCATTTTCCAGCTGCAGGCTGGAGGCTGGAGGAGTGAATAAGAACAGTGCAGGACACGTACTGTGTAGCTGGCTGGGCTGCTCTGCTTGGACACGGCCGCCTGGTACTTGGCCATGCGGTCCTTTATGGAGGTTTCAGAGAGGCGTGGCAGCTCCAGGTTCCGCTTACTCTCATTTTTCTCCGAGTTGAACGCGGAGGAAGACAAATGACCTGGAAGTGTGGAAATAACACGCTTTGTTAGAGGATAAAAGGGATTCTAAGTCCCGAGTGACTACGATCTAATGCATAGCTTTTTTTTTCTGTTAGAAGAAGGTGTACTAGCTCTCGTCTGTAGTCCCAGCACTGGGGAGACTGAGGCAGGAGTGCCACATATTCAAGGCCTACCGAGTGGGGACCCTGTTTAAAAAACAAAAACCCCAAACCAACAATCAAAAGCACACACACACATAAAAAGAAAATAGAAATGTAATTATCTTTCATAAGATAACTTTAATTCACCTTCCTAAAATTGAGGGGTGCCTTTGCCATAAATATACATGTTGTACACATACACACACACAATTTTAAAATTTTTATTCCTTATTTTTTGGTGGTGCTGAGACTCAAACTCAGGGTTTTGTGTACACTAAGCCCCCAGGCTACCCCTAAGCTACATCCCCAGCTCAGGATAAGCAATCTTGGTCAGGGATTCAATCCATCTCCTGACGTCCTCCAGTTCCAGATAACTGTGGTGTCAAAGCATCTGCAATACTCCACCTGTCACCTCAGGGAAGGTCCCCAAGGATGGATTAAAATGTGCTCCTGTCTCTAATCCTGGGACCAGAAAATCAGCAGTTCAAGGTCAACATTGGCCACATAGGATGTTCTAGGCCAGCCTGGGCTACAGATCTTGTCTCAAACAAAGGACAAAAATAAAACTCAGGAAAGCTAAGAGAGAGCAGAGCAGTCGGGACCATCTTGCAGCTAACACGCAGATGTCTCTCTAACGTGCGTCAGTCTTCCTTTGGAAGCACAGGGTTTTAGCTTGAAAGGTTCTATAGCAGGCTGGAGAGATGGCTCAGTGGTTAAGAGCACTTGCTCTTCTAGAGGTCCTGAGTTCAATTCCCAGCAACCACATGGTGGCTCACAACCATCTGTAATGGGATCCAGTGCATTCTTCTGGTGTGTCTGAAGATTACTAAAGTATACTCATATACATAAAATAAATAAATCTAAAAAAAAAAAAAAGGTTCTACAGCGGCTGAGTAGCTTCTCAGAGGACCTCATCCACCTCTCTGCTTACTTACCAGCACCTATTTCCAAGTCGTCCAGGGAACAGCTGTTTTCAGAGAGCCTCCTTCCGCCTGCATTTCGGCTTTGGGTCCAGAGACTCTGTCCAGAAGACAGGAAATACTGATGTAAGGCTCACAAGTCTTTCATTAATAAGACCCAGAAGATTATTAGAGCTTTTCAACTGCCAAGCAGCACATACTCACAGGTGCTCACAGAGAAACAAGTCCCTGTGAATAGACAAAGCTCTTTGCTGTTGCCAGCCGCCGGCTGGCCAGCTTACGCGTCTGGCACAGCTGCCTGAGGAGAGCCTCGCATCTCAAAGGACAACAACAAGTCCCTTAGGAACGGCTGAGGCACAGGCAGCACCCGCTGTTCTCCCTCTCCACCTCTCAGCTCCCTGCTGTTGCTGCCTTCATCACGGCTCTTTTAACGATCTCATTATCTTCTTAATTGGCTCCTTTTTCCACCTCCTAACCCAGTCTTTGAGAGGCTGCCATTATCCCAACTAATAAAAAGTAATTATTCTAAAATCTACATCTTCCCTGAAGTCCCCTGTTCAAAATTCTTTCAGAACTTCCAATCAGCCCTTGAATGCCATTGCAAGTGTTTTAGCACATTCGAGACAACCCGCCCCCACCCCCCCCCCACCAACCTCCCCATGCTGGTCAGCGCCTACCCAGCCTCCTCTCTGGATATTCTCTGCCACATCTTTTATCCTTCAGGGAACTCAAATGGCTCTGAGGCTCTGTGGTGTAGTCAATGAGGCTCCCTCCACCCATATCATGTTTGTCCTTCTGTCTAGGAAATGCTATTTTTCAGGACAAGGTACCACTCACTTCTACATACATTTAGCTACCCTTCCTGCAGTCTGAAGGACCCAGTCATGCTTTATTGCAATGCTTGGTAGATCCCTGAGGCTGTCCTTCCACTGGCCTGCAAGCCCATGGAGGGAGCCCAGGTCTCCGCCCTCATACACTCCCAGGACTTGTAGACTGTAGCATAATTTGTCTCTTCAGTGCTGAGGATCAAACCTGGGTCCTTGCACACACCAGGCAAGTGCTGCACACTGAGCTATGCTGCAGACACTGGGCACAGATTTTTGAATAAAGTGTTTTGGAATTCCTCAAATCCCAACACTTTGTGTCTCATATTTTGGACAGACCTTTAGTTACAGTTACAAATTAGTCAGAATGTGGTGGCATACACCTGTAATTAATCCTGTCAGAGGCAGGGGGATCAGGAATTCAAGGGCAGACTGTGCAAACATAGGAGGCTATAGAAGATCTCGTCTTACAAAAACCAAAACATAAAGTTTTAGGTTTTGGGTTTTTTTTTTGGTTTTGTTTTTATTTTTGGTTTTTTGAGACAGGGTTTCTCTATGTAGCCCTGGCTGTCCTGGAACTCACTCTGTAGACCAGGCTGGCCTCGAACTCAGAAATCCTTCTTCCTCTGCCTCCCAAGTGCTGGGATTAAAGGCATGCACCACCACTGCCTAGCTACATATAAAGTTTTAAATTATCATTTTAGGACTAGAAACATACTCAAGAAAAAGCCACTTAGTTTCACAGAGTATTTCAAACACAGATGTGGAATATCACATTCTGTAATGACGCCTTCAGCCAGATTCTGCCATTCAAATATCTGCTGGGAATTACTGAAAGGCAGTTTGTCAGAGGTAAGAGACACATCTCCGCCTCCCTGCACCCTCTCTCCATTCCCACTCCCGACTTCCCTCCAGCTTGTCCATCAAATTCAGAGCCCTGAATATCCTTGGTTAAGTATTCTACAGTTGAAACTCTTGAATTCAACATGTGAGAAACTTCTTTTTTCTTTTTAAATCCAACATAGTTAGTCAGGCAACGGTGGTTAGCCAATCCTGGCGGACTGTGAAGTTGAGCTTCCACCCATGGTAGAAACTGTAGTCACCACCCTCAGGGAGAAAGGGTAGGAGCCATTTTGGCCTAGTGTGCTGTTAGCTGGTGTGAACCCCTTTTACAAAAAGTCTTGCCTTGCTCAGATACTTTTGCTTCCTTTGTATGAACGGATATTTTATCATGTGTTTGTCTTGTGTTAACATACACTGGTAAAAGTTACTAAACTTTTAAATGGACTGACTTCATAAATTAACTACATGTTCAAGACAATTCCCTCCTTATTAGCTCTAATCGTCCGATAATAACATATTTCAAATAAAACCCAAAATAAAACAGGGAGTGGGCGGTGAGTTATACGTGGAATCCTAACACCCAGGAGACTGAGGCAGGAGGACCATCATGAGTTCCAGGTCAGAGTGGCTATAAACTAAGACCTTGTCTCATAAGCCAAAACAAATAGAATGCTAACATTGCCACAGCAACTACATCTATGACTTATTTGGCTCAATATTTTTTCCTCTGGGAAAGAGGAAAACTGACAGCCAAGGGGAACTCACGCCCCATCCACATTATGGATCTTGCAGAGGACAAATGATGAAGGCTTGGGCCCAGCCCGATGCTGAGGGAGGGCAAAACCTTTGCAGGGATCTAAGAAGGAGAGCCAACATAAACTTTTCCTTTAAAAGCTGACTATTGGCTCTTTGGAACAAGGACAAAAAATTAACAGTGATCACCACCCAGGTTCCAAAGGTTCAACTCCACGTGTCAGTATGCTATAAGATAATTAGCACAAAAAATTCAGACATTCGTATTTTCAGGACTCAAAAAAAGAGAAATCCTGGAAACTACAAATATACCTCAAACCCCCCCCCAAAAAATTATTTTTTCAGTCTTTATCCTTTCTCTTCTTCTCCCTCCCTCCCTCCCTCCCTCTTTCCCTCCTTTCTTCCCTCCCTCTCTTTATATTTAGGTGGGCAGAGGATAAAGTCTTACTATATAGACCATCCTGGGCCTGAACTTGTTATAGATTTTTCTTTAAAAGAAAAAAACAATAACAAAACCCTATTTTATTGTGTGTGAGAGCATGCATGCACACATGGCCCACAGTGTACACATGTTTATTGTGTATGTGTGAGCACACACGAACACATGTCCCACAGTGTACATGTGAAGGTTGGAGAACGACTCTCAAGAGCTGCTTCTCCTGCTACTTCTGGATCCAGGGATCTGACCTCAGGTCATTGGGCTGGCCAATCACCTGCTCTTACCTGCTGTGCCATCTTACCAGCCCTAAATACTTATTTTTTTAAAACAAGTATTTTCTATTCTACATATTTCTTAATTTTTTTTAAATTTATTTAATGTATGTAAGTACATGGTTGCTGTCTTCAGACGCACCAGAAGAGGGCATCAGACCCCATTGTGGATGGTTGTGAGCCACCATGTGGTTGCTGGGATTTGAACTCAGGACCTCTGGAAGAGCAGCCAGTGCTCTTAACCGCTGAGCCATCTCTCCAGCCCCCTATTCTACATATCTTGACAATTACATGCGTGTACAGAATGTATTGGGACTAGGCTTTACTTTCTCTCCTTTTTCTTTCTGAGATAGGTCTAACTACAAAGTCCCAACTGGCTTGGAACTCACAATGAAGATCAGGGTGGTTTTGAACCACAGTGATCCTCCTGCCTCTGCCTAGGATTAAAGAATGCTAGGACTAAAGACATGTATTTTCTTGACTGGCTAGGTTCTATATCCCACCCTCCCCTTTAAAGATTTATTTATTTATTTATTTATTTATTTATTTATTTATTTATTTATTATACAATGTTCTATACTGCATGTATGCTTGCATGCCAAAAGAAGGCACCAGATCTCATTACAGATGATTGTGAGCTACTATGTGGTTGCTGGGAATTGAACTCAGGTCCTCTGGAAGAGCAGTCAGTGCTCTTAACCGCTAAGCCATCTCCCCAGCTCCTAGGTTCTACATTCTTAATAGAGGAATTTATATTCTGCCGAAGATAAAATTCAAGTACAAACCCAGGAGTATCTGCTGCACAGGAGTTGCAACCTGCAAAGCTCAGCACTGGTCCTAGCTCAGTGCTGGTCCTAGTCTCACGCCCCTGCCTTGTGTGGAAAGAAGGGAACAGCTCCCGGGTACAGAAACACCATCTTTCCTTTCATGTGAATAACGCTTCCCACCTTGGTGGCTTTTAACTTCAGTGCTTGGGTTAAAAGTGGGGTGTGTCAGAGCTGTAACCTCACACTCTAGAGGAGAAGGCTAGAGGGGCCATCCTGGTTTACACGGCCAGTTCCAGGACATCCAGGGCAACATAGTGAGACCTAAAATTATGGGTGTGGTAGCTTGGGCCTATAATTTCAGCACATCAGCAGTAGGAACTGGGAGTTCAAAGGTCATCCTCAGCTTCATAGCAAGTCTGAGGGCAGCCTGGGTTAGTGAGACCCTGTGTACAACAGAGCCGTATTAAGGAGACAGCTCAGCTAATCAAGTATTTGCCTTACAAACATGAAGACGTGACTGTGTCCCCCAGAATTCTTTCCTTTTACTCATACATGGGGGTATATACTTATAATTCCAGTTCTGGGGAAGTGGAAACAGGTGGTTCCCTGACGTTCACTAGGCAGCCACACGAGTCAGTGAAATGGTTCAGTGGATATCAGGCTTCATGATGAGTTCAATCCCCAAGATCAACCTTAGAGGGGAGGCCTGGCTCTTGGCAGCTTTCCTGACTTCCACACAGAGGTAAGGTAAGTGCCCTTCCCCCAGTGAATTTTATGAAAACCACAAAGTAAACAAACAAGAAAGAAACAAGGTAGACAGCTCTTGGAGAATGACATTGGAGGCTTTCTTCTGTGGCAGGAGGATCCAGCTGGAGGCCAGACTCAGGTAGCAAGACCAAGCACAACAAAACCAAAATCCCAACCAAACAAGCACCACAAAACATCAAAAGCTAAAAACAGGACAAAGCAGAACAGTGGTCACACAGGAGCCTTAGAAATAGGTTTGGTTGGGTCTGGTGGGGTAGGATTAGAATCTGAATCCTTGGGAGGCCAAGGCAGGGTTCCAAGGCTAGCCGGGGCAGGGAGAATGAGCCTGACCTTCCCGGAAACTGGGAACTGGCTGTGCGAATTGGTTCCGGGGAGGAATCTGGCTCTGACCAGCCATCTGGGATAGGCCCAGGTGAGGCTCTGGTTTTCACTTT